CCTGAGGAGCGAGAACAACTTGGGAAGGAGAACCTCGACGCAGACCTGACCTGCTGGCCCTCGATCTAGCTGACCAGAGAGGCCCATGTACTGCCGAAGAGTTCGATAAAGCTTCCTTTGCAGAGGACATTCGAAATCAACTGAGAGGGCCAGCCACTCACAGCCGACAGTTCGAGAGACATGCCTTAGCTGTTAGCTATTGAGGAACTCCTTCGACTAGGGTATGCATTACATCATACATTGGTTACATTCTAGGATGTAACACAATAATAATAGTATCGGGCAAGGAAGGTAGATGTATAGTATGTTATAAGAGGCCTAATATACAGTATTTTTGCGAATCGAACTTTCACCGTGTAAGATGCAGTATGTGATGACTGGGAAAGGAAATCTCAATGCGACGGCAACGAGTCACGATAAAGCCTTTCTGCCCATCAGTTCAGCACGAGGGAGATCAGGCTGAGTCTGCATCCATAGTACTCTACAGCCAAAGGTCCCCCCGAACAACACATTTCGAGTTTGAAACAACCACGGTCGCCCTAGAGAATCAACTCAATCCGTTCATAGGCGACTACAAAATCTTCAGATGCAATACTTACGATAAGCACGTTATACCCTAGGGAAGCAGTATACACCTCAAACATTCACGACTGGAACACCAAACATCAAAATTGAGCCGGCCATTTTTCAGAGTATAGCTTCAAAGCTTACGGTAACCGACGATGTATTGTCAACTTTGCGGAATAAATCGGGTAAACACACTAGCCGCCTCACATGTATTTGAGTAGGAAGAACACCTGAAAGACAACACTAGGAAATCAACTCACAACTGGTCCTTTTTGCCATTGTCACTCTCATCATCATTACAAGGCGAATCGATCATTCCGTATACAGTATAATACAACATCATGAGGGAGTAAGACTGCCACACTCAAACAACCATACTGTGTATGGTTACAACATATATACAATGTTATAAGTTACATATATACAACCACGGGATGGGCCCTTTTTTGGAACACCACCCTGTAGTAACATCCTCGACTACTACAATAAATTATAATATCGATCGAATGGACACGCGACTCGTTGGAGCCCCGAACCTCATTAATTCTTCTATAGGGTGCCCCAAATAAACTGTGCTATTGTCTATAACTTGTAGAATTCAAAAAATATCCCAGTGAGAGATAGCTCATTAGAAAGATCTTGGCGAGCGCTTTTCAATGGTACAAGTATTGTAGCGGGGGTACCCTGCAATTCCCTAAGTTGGGCCTTTATTTGATGAACTTCTTCTCTGTTATGATCAGAAGTGGTACCTGAGCCGATACGCTCGATCGCACTACAGCCATCTCGACATGTAATAACCTGTGCTATGAACCCTTGAGTGACCACAGTGTAGAACGGCAAACCAAACGGCACCATACAAATGTACTCATGGACGATACCAGAGAGAACCTGACCATCTACCAGTAGAACACTATCTACTGTATAAAGAGTATCTACAGTAGATACTCATGCTTAGTAGATAATCTACTGGGCTGGAGCAATGTGGGAGGTACTCACATGGTCAGTTACATGTGCTGGTGACAATATAAAAACTGGGCGAAAATTTCGGAAAATTTCTGTTGATTCCTGAGCACTTCTACCCGAATTCGTACAAATGAGAAGAATTTCTCAAAATGTCCTCAGAATTTTCCTTCCACCAACACTTGTGGTTGACCATGTGCATGTCTTCCCATACTGGGCTTTAGTACTTACGACCCAGTTGCCTTCGCATAGGGATGTACATGTGACGAAGGATGAAGTAGTGAACCTGTAGGACGGCACCGCTATCCGTTCAAGTCCACTCTGGGACGTACAGGAAGATTCCATTTCTGCCAATATTCTCTAATATTGACTGAATTCCACCAGTCCAAGTAAAACTCGCGATCTCCGAACCTGGTCAACTCCGCCAGGATATCTAACAAGATTAAGTAACTGAACTCCTGAGACCCAATTCCCCTCACTCATCCAAGTGTGAAAAAGAGTGAAAAACATCAACAACCACAAGTACAAGTTGGGCACAGCTAATTTCAATATCCTTTCCGATAAGATCCTGACAACAGGTGAACACCCACGGCCAGTCATACGGAGTAGATTACAGGGCACTTGGCACTCAAGCGAGACGGTTGAGCTCGCGGCGATATAAGATCCTCTATGCGGATAATGGGAATCGGGAAAGAATCACCACTGTGAATCACTCCAACGTAGTGCCACTTTATATTCGTGGACAAGGCGGGGACGTGTACGCCGAGTTGGAGCACGGTCCCACTTTTGTTGGTTGGAGATTGAGATTCCTACTCACCCACGAGAACGGCGATAAACACTTCCACTGATGTTCTGTGCTTCATCACCGCGGTGGATCGGCTGAAGGGAAGTCTAGGGTTCTGGTGGTTTGGGATCAGGCTGATCCAGGCGTATCCGTTCTCGAGTGGCTTCACCTGGATGACGAAGTGTGGAGTGGTGAAGAATCGACGACCTCTTCACTGAAGAGTCTTCAGGGGGGCGTGTCCAAATCCCCGGGTCGGTCGGATCTGGAAGTTAGCAACCGCCCTTTGGATCAGAAACGGTTGGCCAACCAGTGATGATGACAGATATTCGGTTTGGTTTTGATAATCTTTGAGCTTCCAGTGGCGTAGTATATAAGCAATTAATAACGAGTTAGTGATAGTGCGCACTCATGAGTCCGAGTTGAGCCGTAGCCATCTTGCTTCAAGCTCGTTTTGTTGTGATCTTCACTCTCCCTTCCGTATCGTGTTCCTCATGAAAGTCGTGGTTGTCGTACTCTGTCATGCATGATGGAAGGATTTGGCTCTACCAACCGTGTCGGCGGCCGCAGCTCACCTGCGGTCATGTCTGCCCCTGACTCATATAGATTGTATCGGGTCTCCTCAGATGACGTTACTGACGAGCACGAGCCGACGGCGTTGGAGAGCCCACACGAGAACGGCCCCTTTCTTTGGCTTGGGAGCTTTCTTTGGTTGAGCATCGAAGATCAAGCTTGACAGTGACTTCAGCAATGTCTGCCTGCAACGGATCGATCTTGTTCGTCAGCTCTTCTTCTTTGCGGTGAAGGCCGTCCACTACTTCGTCGTCTTCCTTGGCTTGTTCGGCTGGCGCGTTGTCATCAATGATTATGTTATCAATGGCCTCCTGAACGCGGAGGCGCATACCGCGGACTCGGCCACACTGCGTACGTAATGCACGCAGCTGCCTGCTCAGATCGTCGACGGTCTCTACACCGGGGATAGTCGAGTGATTAGCACAGCTGTCACCATGTTGTGGCGCGTCGGTTCGTCCCCGATGTACTGGTTGTGGAACGCTACTCGCCATGGGATAAACAAGCAAAGAGTACACTTGAGCCAAATGGCTACGGTCATGCATCACACTAACGAATTCTCAATACATAGTCTATCAGCCAAAAGGATACTCTAAGCCTTCTCCAAGCCGTTTCTGCTGTTGCAGCGTATGTAGGCGATCGAGACGGTATCATGGCGTAGCAGCCATGACAGTGCTGGGAAGGTTCAACAAACACTACCACTTACAGCAAACACATGAGGTTGACGATACCACGATAATTGATGCCCCTGGCGCTCATACCGAGGAGGGGGACCTGAAAAGATACAGTTACAACAATTTAATGTCTCATAAACTCACACTGCATTTCCTGTTAACGACTCGGCCAAGTGGATGGGAACGTCTCATTCGACCGAGGACCTTCTCCTTCTGAGCCTCCTTCTTAGCTTCCTCCCCAGAAGCAGTCGCTTTGGACTTCTCCTGAGCCTTTCAACCTCAATACACTATAATCGATGCAGTGACCCATCTGGCCATGGGTCCCAACGTATGTAGTTTGTGGTTCCAACGTATCGAGCCAACGAGGATCGACATCGCCGGGGCTCTTCAGGCCTCCCTAAAGGACCTGTTGCCTCTCTACCCTCTATGTCAACTGGAGTAACCTCGGCCAAGCACAAGAGGCTTGTATGGCTCGAGATGGTATGAGTTTGGCTTCCTCGGGCGAAGTTCGAAACTTCTATACAGCAGAACGTGGTGCTGTAATCGTGAAACGGCGCATTTTGACATCGTGGAGCTGAAGAAAATTCGTATTGGGCGTAATTATTTATGATTTGGTCATCCGTGACGTACGAAAGATCTACATACACTAGTACTCACGTAGTAAATAGGAGTCGTTCCACGTTTCTGAAATGGTATGTTGACACTGACTCGCATTTCAATAGCATACTAGCTGACCTGCGGCGGGTTTTGATTCAAGACTTTTTAACCCGAGTGGCGATCCAGTATACTCAGCCGAGGGCTGAACACAATCCTATAATGTAGGAAAGAGGAGATTAATGTTGTGAATCTCCGTGTACGGTGCGTGCCCGCTTCGCCCAACTGGTAACGCTAGACATAGGGGAAAGATGGAAGTGCGTACTGACAATAGGAAGCAATAAGAGAGCTCAAGTAGATCGAGCACAGACCAGAAATAACGAGGTTAGTTAATAGTGCACGTACATCATCATGAGGTCAAGAAGATGCGCACGCGTCACACTGGCAATATTCAGGCTGATGCGCATGCGTGCATCATAGAAATAGGAGACAGCACCATAGAATCAGCATTGACTTGTAGACCAAATAGTTAGCAGACCAGAAGCGCTCGAGAACAAGGCTCAGCCTTGAAGGCTGTAGCCGAGTCGCGCTTGACTGGATGCAATGAAAAAGAATCAGGCTCTGATGAAGTCGTAGTAGAGTGGATGTAACGAAAGGAGAGTTGATGATCGGATCAGCTTCATATAGAATTCACTTTTTGCGTTCCAACACGATCTGAACACTGATCAAAAGCACAAACTCCGGAAGAACTCATTGGAGGACCATGATATATCATAAAAACTAATGGTATAGGTTGCGGACACAATGACCGGTAGCTTGCTCGTAGATACTCACAAACCCCAAGACCAGGCCAATACCAAAGCTGGAATCAGTCGCAATATACCCGCAGTACTCATCCAGACCCTTGATATGATAGTGATCACATGCATACCGCACCAAGCTGAAGAAGAACTGCAGCAGTTTCTTTGGTATCACTCCGAAACAGGCCTTAGTCTTGCGAAAAGACCAACGTGGGCAGTACTCGAAACCAGTCAAGCCTATGGGTCGTCCAGGAACCATCGGAATGGAAAAGGCGTTGTAGGGATCCTTGGTCGGACACTGATTATTGGCGATGCATATAGAGGTCGCGAGTTGAAGAGCACAGGTGCGTACGAAGATGTAACCATTCAAGACCTGATTGAGCGAGGAAATTCCCTCCTGGAGGAATCCACAGAAATCGGATGTGGATGAGGAGTGGGCATAACCTTTTCCCTTGCAAAACTTGGTGATCTGCTGGATGAAATACGCGTTGATGGCCGCAATGTGAATGGTTTTGCATTTAGAACAGAACGGGTAGGCCTTGGGGTCCGGCTTGGGGTCCGGCTTGGGATCCGGCTTGGGGTCCGGCTTGGGGTCCGGCTTGGGGTCCGGCTTGGGATCCGGCTTGGGGTCCGGCTTGGGGTCCAGCTTGGGGTCCGGCTTGGGGTCCAGCTTGGGGTCCGGCTTGGGGTCCAGCTTGGGGTCCCGCTTGGGGTCCAGCTTGGGGTCCGGCTTGGGGTCCACCTTGGGGTCCGGCTTGGGGTCCGGCTTGGGGTCCGGCTTGGGATCCACCTTGGGGTCCGGCTTGGGGTCCACCTTGGGGTCCGGCTTGGGGTCCAGCTTGGGGTCCGGCTTGGGGTCCAGCTTGGGGTCCGGCTTGGGGCCCGGCTTGCTCGGGAGATCTCCGTCTACGAGAACCTCATCCAGCTCACGACTATTGAGATTAGGCGGTGGAGGTGCATCCATCAGGGCTTCGTCTATGAACTTTTGGACATCCGAATTACCAAGGAGAACCGTGAAGTTTGCAACTAGATCGTCAGCGAAAGGATCAGCCTGGATGCTCAGGACACCGGCGATGGTTGCGAAGATATTCAGCAGACGAGTCATAGATGGTAGGGGTGAGTATACTGAAGAAATCAAGAGTCATGAGTCAAGTCGACGACGAAACTCTGTGACGAGGACAAGCCAATGGAAAGTTGGAGAAAAGCTCTCAATGGATGAAGCCTCATGGAGGCTTCCTCGCACGAATAACAGTCGGGTTACTTTGCGCGATGAGCAACGTCTCTCCTCTTCCTGAAGGAAACTGGTCGCAGCTAAATTAACGTACCGAAATGTATGGAGTTGCAGTTCCAACGATGATAACTTATCAGTAATAGGACTCTCTCTCAGAATCCGCGGATGAGATGTTCCTTTGTCGAGAATTTCATGATAATGCAAGCGACGAGTCCGCTGTCATTCGCCATAAATGTAGAGGAGAGTTGCAGGAAATGACGGAGTGAAATCCGATTCTCAAAGCGTGAAGCGTGAGATGAGTTGGTGACACGACATTACGACGATGCATAGCATTATACAATTCACCTACAATGAGACAACAACTGAGTTATTATTCACAGAAATTCTCAAGGAGCATCAGCACTATCAGTTCGTTGGTGGTATCGCATGCACTTTCTGCTTTGAACTCCCTCTACCGCGCTGATTCCCACTATAATACTCGCGTTCTCATGACTTGTCTACATTCATGATTATCAGCTCCCCCAACGGATGAACCGTTCCTTGCGAATTGCAACTCCCAATCCGGGAGAAAATCTATTTGAGGCGTGCATTGCCGCGACCAATCAACGGCTTGTACTCAACGAACCTTGTTGATGAGACTCTGCCATGAAGCCAACAGACTGTTGAGGGACGTTTTGACGATTTGAATACGAGACATTGTCTCGTATTCAGTTGTCTCGGAGACAAGTCCCGCAAAGAAGATTCTTTGAAGCCTCTATACAGCTTATAAAGCCTCTATAAGCACAAAGGGTTTGTATGGCTCGAGATGGTATGAGTTTGGCTTCCTCAGGCAAATTTCGAAAGTTATATGCAGGAGGTTTTTCCGTCGATCATGTCAATATAACCTCTCTCCAGATGGAGCAGATCACGAAGACCAAACTCTATGATGAAGCTGTGAAGTCGCGCTCAGAATATGGTGTAAGTCACACCACATTCTGAGCGTGTGACACCGTGTGACTCACATTTACGCAAGTGAGATTCACGTTCATGCATTTGTCGGAGTAAGTCCGCGTCTCAGAGGAGTGGAGGGCTTCCGGAAAGGATAAAGCAAATTGTTAAGCGTGGAATTCGAACTAGAAGAATGTTGCGTGTGAGATGCTCAAGTTCGTACTTGGAAATTTTCTTCGTGTTGAGTTTCGCCTACACAATCGATAACAATTGACCTAAAAGGCAGTCTACTGGTACCCATAGATAGATAGTTCTCGAGCGGGATATCAGGGTTCTCCGTAGTGATACTTATCACAAAGTAGACTCTCCGGCATTTCTCATGCTGTCATAGTCAGCGATGGGATGCAGATTTCCGTGATGCGAATCATATGAGGGAGGATCTTCACCAACTCAGTGACACTGAGTGTTACGCTTGGTGGGTAATTGGCAGATACGCAAAGCTACAGAGAGGAATTTGGAGTGAAGTGGCAGCCACACTGTGGCTGCCACAGCCCGTGGCCCACGGGTGTAACCTGTGGAAGTAGTGTAAGCGACCCAGCACCCATAGTGGACGGTACATTAGTGGCACAAAGTTGTGCAGCACGCAACTCAAGCTAGAGTCTCCATTACCATGGTACCACAGTGAGAATTGCAGTCGAGCTGAGGTGTCATTCTCTGAGGTTTTGGGTATGTTGTTATGTTGCAATACGTCAAGTATCATAACGCATGGTGTTTGGGCGTCTTCCTTGACCTGGTCAAGTTGAGCACTCGAGTGTTTGCAAGTCTTCATTGCGCGCTCGAGATACAATCCACATACTCGATTCGAGTGACTCGAATCACCAGCGATGGTGTGTACTAGAGGGTCGTAGTTAAGACGTAAGCAGCACCTCTGATTTATACTTCATACCTTCAAGTTCTAAATCAAGTTGAGGGGAGAATCTCCCCGTGAGATGCGTTCAACCGATGATGAGTCTGAAAGGAATCCATCGAAACAGCCCAGCTTCCTGAAGAATTGGATGCTGCGTTTATAGACTGAGAGGTTAAAGAGATCCTAGCATACGTTATCTTTCAGAAATCTGTGTTGCGAGTGAGGCTTCGCGGAGGTCACCAATTCGGCAAGTAGCGAAATCACATTCTTGACGAGAATTACTTGCATAGAGACATTGGTTCCTGGTTTCATGCAGCTGTGCAATAACTGTACAGTGTAGCTTCAGAAAATGTAGTTCTGTGACAGTACGCACGGATAGAGCCGATAGGGTCGTCTACTGGGCGGTCTGGATTGTTTCTTTTATGCACGTGCCGGAGATTGTAAATTGACTTCAGAAGCGTGCTGTATGTAGCGCCCACCAGGAGCATTCGTTTCTCATGGAGAACGCGAAAGATATCGCGTGGCGTGGACCTCGCAGAATTCAAGTCTTTCACCAACTGTTTGGTGGGAGAGTCGAGCATAGGCTTCCGTTTGCGCAAGTCGATAGGGGACGACCGTGCTTTATGTGGAGAGTGCCGAGCAGACATGATGACCTGGAAACCAGCCGTGCCATCCCCACAAACACACATTGCAATTCCACATCCAGCGAAATTCGGATTCCTATCGAAAGGACACTTGTAACCAGTGCACGTCGCCCTAGCACTACCTGCCGATTTGGGATAAGTCACCGCGTGCCTGATCATACGTGACCCATCTGGAAGCCCTGCAAACTCAGACAATCTCTTCTCTGCCTCGGCTCTGGTTGCGAATATCTCTTTTGTGGCCGAGATATAATCACGGGCCGTGATTCACGGCTACGCCCACGATATCCCGTAGTCGTTTTTTGCAATAACTGCTGATCACCCACATCTACAACTCTGAGCATCTCTTGGTCACTCGGCCCTCGATTCTGTATGTCAGGTCCCGAGCTTGGTGCAGAAGGCACATTATTACTTGTTCCAATAACGGCCTGTAACTTGCATATAAGATCGTTCACTTCTTCAGTATTTGCCATGGAAAACTAATGAGTATGCTAAGGAGTGGTAATGTCGGCACGTCTAGAATATCACGGACTGCACTATGTTAGAGATTAGGTTGCATAGCCGCAACTATACTGCAGCTGAAATAGATAGTAAAACTTTAACTTGAAGTTGTTTTGTCGTCGACACCTCGCGAGATGCAACCTGTGTTACAGAAATCGTCTGTGGAGCAACAAACAGTACTCGCAGGACACAGTGTCCTGCGAGTACTCTCAAGGAGTACTGCAGGTAGAGCTCCTCAGGAGCTCAGGGGTACAGGAGCTGCTCCTGTACTCCTTCCACGGCTTAGCTTTTATAGTGTCCTGGACACTATAAAAAAGCTGAGGAGTGTTACTTAAGGATCGTAAGCTAAGATCAAGCGGTGAAAGGAGTTAGCTGAAGTGAGGTAGATAGCGAGGTGAGGAGGTGAGGTAGCGGTATGACTACTTTCATACATGTTTTTCGAGGACAGCTTGGATCCAGAAAACATGAAGTAAGGACGAACGGAAGAGTTAACATAAAGGGAAAAACAACGCAGGACTTGCCCAACGAGATAAAAAGGCGTTAATGAAACACCACCGCAAAAGCCAACATGAAGAGAAAAACAACACAGGATAAAGCCAACGAGATAAAAGGCGTTGATTGAGTAACACCACAAAAGTAAACGCGTGGGGAAAACACAAGTACAAATCCAACCGTGCTGAACGTGCAAAGTGTTGAAAAACACACGAACACTTTATCAACAAGATAGTTAACAAAAACAATATTTTTGCAGACGCAAAACAACCGTAGTTGAAAAAGTACATTTCCCCCATGGATGTCCGTACTCGTTGGAATTCTACCTATGCCATGCTAAAGGATTACTATGCTAATAGAGAATCGTATGAGGAGTTTTTGAAGGATGCCCCCGAGCATGTGAAGCCAAACTCTCCTATTTATACGACGTGTAAACCTTGTAAACTGAAAGACACCGAGTATGGTTTAATGCTGGCTATCTGTAATACTCTAGAGCCTTTGAATGATGCCACCAAACTGCTTAGCGCTTCGAAATTCAGTACCCTCACACAGCTTCGTGAGGTTATCTCTATGTTGAAGCTCTTTTCACAACCGAGCGAGACTAAGAGCACTGCGTGGGTCAGACGAATGCAATGGGCAGACGAATGCAAGGAATGGGCCTGACGGTCAGGCATTTGCAGGGAAATCTTCTCTTCCAGCTGTAGAAGTATTTCGGATATATTACGGCGGATGATTTCATCCTTGCTGCTGCCTATCTGAATGTTGACACGCGTAGAAGCATGGAGAACAGGTGCTTCACGCACCTATTCAAAGGAGCTCTCAGTGGATAATGGAATTGGTCGGTCTTAGACCGACTAATTCGATGCATCGATTGTCGAATTGCATGCATCGATGCAATTCGATTATCGAATGCATGAAACGTCTGAAGATGTCCAGCAAATTCGTCTCGTTGCCTGTTGCAAAGCCCAATCGACAACCATGTAAGGTCGAGAAGAAGTCTACTAGTGCATTCTTCGATTTCATGAGCAATCAAATCTGCTCTGATCTTACCCCAGCTTCTGGGCCCAGAAATTATTGCACAATGACGTCGATGAAGAGCGCCTACGAAGCCTTCTTAGCGAGTATGAGCGTAGGGCAAAAACCTACCCTATTCATCAAGAACACGACAGTCGGCCTCTCCTCGACGGTATCGTCGGGTCTCGCTTCGGAATAAATTATTGTGGTTCCACAACAAAGATCTAGATGAGCTATTTACTCTGTCTACAATCTTGATGGGGGTCCCAGCACCATCGGTAAGTAGCAAAAGTTGTTTTTCCGTTGCCGGGGCCCTCTCCAGGCTAAGGCGAACTTCGCTGTTAGACGACTTCAAGTCGTCTAACAGCGAATAGGCTGCGTAGCGCAGCCTGCGTTCGTTGGTTATCGTGCGATCTTTTGTCTGATTATCAGACAAATCAAATTTCGATAAGGCTGACTAAGCCTGCGTCTTCTGTTAATTAATCACTGATCATGAATCATTGATGATGAATTGCGTTCAGTCTCTCAATTCTTGAGACTCAATAGTACAGTGAGCCTGGTAATCCGCCAGCCGGGTTTGGCGGGTTTTCCGGCCAACCCGGCGGGCCCGCTAAACCCGGAACATGGGTGAGAGAAGACTGCCGGGCCTGGCCGGGTGACTAGAAGATCGCCGGGTGCCCACCTCCATCGCCCGGTGGCACCTGCCGCAGGCGGCCTGCGGCAGGCCTCGTTCCAGCGCAACAGCCTACTGAAGCGTCCTCGAGGAACACCTGGCGTCAATAAGAAGAAAGGGAAACAGAACGAGGAAGAAGGTGAAAAAGGAGACTGGAATGACCATCCGATGGACGATGGGGAAGATGACCGCGGAAGTCTCTCCGAGGAGGTAGACAGTGAGGAGGAAGCTTGGACCTGAGTCTACGAGAGATCGGCACTCTGGAGGGCGGAGAATTCGTCCGTTTGGTTACCAAACTTTGGTACTATCGTACAGAAATAATGGAGCATTCCTCCAGTGGCTCCCCGGTCACTCTACCTCATCGAGAGGATATAGATATTGACCCAGCTACTGCAGCAGTTACCAGCAGGATACCAAGCAGCTTGGGTTCGCATGATGAGAATTGCTGTCATTGCCATGTTGAAGAGCCCAGTGGATACCTCTTGCTCAAGTGCACAAGACCAGATCGGCCACGTTTGCGTCCGAATTATGTGGACGGAAGCGGAACTCTTGGGCAAATAACAATTAGTGTGAATCGATGCACAGCTATGGCGAAGTTTTGTGAGATACTTACCCTCAAAAATGCGACAAACCCATGATATGAGGAACGCAACTAGAAGTATATGCTTCTGCCATCGAGAATGGTAGTCTCGGGTGAGGGAGGACTTCTGCTAGGATATGGATTTTTCGAGATGATGCTTGTGGTCAACACACTGTGGCGAGTGTTTGTGTTCCGTTGTCGTACACAGCCCCCGCAGTTGTGTAAGCGGATCTTGCCGAGAGGAAAGGAACTTCCTTCAAGGAAGTACATTGGCAGAGGTTATCCCGCCCTGTGGACAAAACTCATTGGCATGATGAAAGTAGACGATTTAAGAGGCAAAAACTGATCCCTCGGGAGCCAATGTGCATCGATACGAGTCTAACTTAGCCGTGTTGTCGGCGTTGGACTTGAACTCACACACGCACACGCACACAGTCGTCCGGATACCAACCGACGAGCTGGAGGGGCATGGAGGATCACAATGGTATACCCATTGCTTCCCACTGCGTATATGTCAATTATATCCGATGGACTCGTTGGACGGGATGGCCACATCTCCCTTCCCGATGTACGGGAGATGTGGCTGGTCACGAGAGCTGGTCCCGCCAATTCGGGATAGATTGAGAACCGTGTAACATTGATCCCACGACTGATGCTCGATCCGGTATACTCAGCCGAGGGCTGAACACAATCCTATATTATAGGAAAGAGAAGACTAATGTTGTTGTGAATCTCCGTGTAGGTGTGGAGATACGGTGCGTGCCCGCTTCGCCCGACTGGCGAGTTGCCAGTTGTCTAGTGTTGAACACTAGACATAGGGGAAAGATGGAAGTACGTACTGACAATAGGAAGCAATAAGAGAGCTCGAGTAGATCGAGCATAGACGAGAAATAACGAGGTTAGTTAATAGTGCACGTACAACATCATGAGGTCAAGAAGATGGGCACGCGTTCCACTGGCAATATTCAGGCTGATGCGCATGCGTGCATCATAGAAATAGGAGACAGCACCATAGAATCAGCATTGACTTGTAGACCGAATAGTTCGCAGACCAGAAGCGCTCGAGAACAAGGCTCAGCTTTGAAGGCTGTGGTCGAGTCGCGCTTGACTGGATGTAATGAAAGAGAATCAGGATTTGATGAAGTCGTAGTAGAGTTGATGTAACGAAAGGAGAATTTCTGATCGAATCAGCTTCATATAGAACTCACTTTTTGCGTTCCAACATGATCTGAACATTGATCAGAAGCACAAACTCCAGGCGAACTCATTGGAGGACCATGATATATCATAAAAACTAATGGCATTGGTCGCGGACACAATAACCAGTAGCTTGCTCGAATACACCAACATACCCGTAGACCAGGCCAAGACCAAAGCTCTTATCAGTCGCTACATACCCGCAGAACTCAAATAGATCCTCGTCCTTAAGGCTGTCACATGCATTCAGCACGTTGCCGAAGGCGAATTGCAGCATTTTCTCTGTTATCTCACCGAAACAGGCCTCAACGGTGTGAAAAGGCCAACGTGGGCAAAACCCGAAACGAGTGAAGTCCACGAGTCGCCCAGGAACGATAGGATTGAAAAAGGGGTTGAAGGCATCCTTGGTCGGACACTGTTTAGTGCCGATGCATGTAGCGGTAGCGAGTTGAAGAGCACGGGAGCGCACGAAGATGTAACCATTCAAGACCTGACTGATCGTGGACAATCCCTTCTGGAGGAAACCACAGAACTCGACTGTGGATAAGGAGTCGGCATTCCCTTTTCCCTTGCAAATATTTGTGATCTGCTGGATGAAATACGCGTTGATGGCCGTACTGTGGATGGTTTTGCAGTTAGAACAGAAGGGGACGGGGGGCAGAGTGGGGCGCGGCTTGGGGTGCGGGTCGAACGAGAGATCTCTGCCTACGGGAACCTCACCCAGCTCACGGTTATCGGCGATAACCGGTGGAGGAGCGTCAATCAGGACTTGGTCTATGAAGTTGTGGACATCCGGAGTACCAAGGAGGGCCATGAAGCTTGCAACTAGATCGTCAGCGAAAGGGTCAGCCTGAATGCTTAGGACACCGGCGATGGTTGCGAAGATATTCAGCAGGCGAGTCATAGATGGTAGGGGTGAGTATACTGAAGAACTCAAGACGACGACGAACCTCTGTGACGACGACGAGCCAATGGAAAGTTGGAGAGAAGCTCTCGATCGGGCCTCATGGGGGCTTCCTCGCACGAATAACAAACAAAGTCGGGATGCTTCGCGCGATTAGCGGCGTCACGCCAGTCCTGAAGGAAGAGCGGAGGTCATGGAGACTGGTCTCGTGTGCGGTCGCCGCTAAACTAGCGTACCGGAATGTACGGAGCTGCAGTTCCGATGACTGTCTGACGAGTCCGCTGTCATTTGTCAGAAATGCACAGGAGAGTTGCAGGACATGACGGAGTGAAATCCAATTCTCAAAACGTGAAGCGTGAGAAGAGTTGGGGACGCGACATTACGACGATGCATAGCATTATGCAATTCACCTACAATGACACGACAACTGAGTTGTTGTTAACGGGTAATTCTCCAGGAGCATCAGCACTATCAGTTCATTGGTGGTATCGCATGCACTTCCTGCTTTGAACTCCCTCCATCGCGCTGATTTCTAATATAATACTCGCGTTCTCGTGACTTGTCTACATTCATGATTATCAGCTCCCCCAGCGGATGAACCGTTCCTTGCGAATTGGAACTCCGAATCTGGGAGAAAAGTTATTTGAAGCGTGCATTGCCGCAACCTGTCGTCAACGATTCTTGCTGATGAGACTCTGCCATCGAGCCAACAGACTGTTAAGGAACGTTGGGACGATTAGACAAGTGAATACGAGACATTGTCTCGTATCCACTTGCCTCGGAGACAAGTCCCGCAAAGAAGATTCTTCGAAGCCTCTATACAGCTTATAAAGCCTCTATAAGCACAAAGGGCTTGTATGGCTCGAGATGATATGAGTTTGGCTTCCTCAGGCGAACTTCGAAACTTCTATGCAGGAGGCTTTCCTATCGATCATATCAAATATAACCTCTCCTCAGATGGAGCAGATCAAGATTTGTGTTTCACGAAGACCAAACTCTATGATGAAGCTGTGAAGTCGCGCTCAGAATGTGGTGTGGCTCTCACATAATGTGAGTCACATTTACGCAAGTGGAATCCCATCGAATACATGTTGCAGGAGGTAGCAACCGTGGTCGGTCGGCCCGTTGGTAACCAACGGTTGGTTTCTTTAACCGTAATGAGTCATTACTAATGACCCAATCTGCTTGGGCCACACACGATCCAACCAGATTAGGTGCTACCAATGCCTTCAATCGATCCTGTGACCCCCACGTAGCTGCGCGAAGGGCCCACCTGGGATGGAAGCCGGACATACCTGTCCGGTCCTCCAATGTTGGTGGGATCAGTATGAAGGCCTCGCCATACTCAAGGGAATAAAATAAAAAGAAAAAATATTCTGGCCCGTCGAGGGATACTCTCGACTTTCGCGGATAAGCTCAGTCTCACAGCCGTACCCAATCCACGTTGTAGACCCTTATAGTCCAACTCGAGGTTATTTCACCTTCGGTTTCGGCTTTGCAGCACTCGAAAACCGTTGACCGGGCGCGCGCATTTCAATCGTGTCACATGTCTTTATCGGCAGCCCCCTCCTTAGTAAGGAGGGGGCTCCCGGGACTGTTGTCCTCCCGCTGACCATGAGATTCGCGTTCATGCATTTGCCGGAGTAAGTTCGCATCTCGGAGGTTTGGTCCTCCAAGTCTGGCCTCCCAAGTTGGGAGGCCAGAGATGGGACAACTGCGAGGTCGATATTCGGCCCGAATATCGACCCGGGGCCGCGGCCCGCGGGTTTTAAGTACAGCATCTTTCCCAGCCCCAGCGTGACGCTGGCAGAGTCTATGGTTTTTCTGTGTTCAGATCGCTGGTAAGCAAAGGATCAAATGTTGGTTGTATGCTTGGTGATTGGGACAGTCTTTAGTTCTCTCATCACTGAGAGAACTGAAAAATCCTCTGCATGCCGATTTAACCCTTCGACGATCGCTCATCAGTGAGTGACAGAGTGGACGGTTCCGCAGTTGCTGTAGCAACGGACTTAGGTAGCCGATCTCGGGGCCGGAGTATGAGGGACGCTCTCGTGAAGAGGTTGGTTGGGGCAGATCGTACGGAAGGCAGTCGAACAGTTGGGGGGGGGTACCGTTATCGGTACTCGAGTTATCGCTCCATGAACTCCGTGCTCGAGAGAGAGAGTGAGAGTCGGATACTGATCGGCAACCTGAAAAACTTCCGTACCAGATCACCTCTTGCGGGAGCTCTGAACCGACGAAGATATCGGCTGTGAGCTCGCATGAGAAGTAGAAGATAAAATTGCGCAACGATCTTCTGATCAAATGGCGACAATAGAAAAGCTCAAGCGTATCAACACCGATCTGGCGGCTGAGGTGATCACACTTTGGTTCCGACGTTGCAATCATCGCGTCAGTGTCTGTTAAACGGCACACTGACTGGTTTCAGAACGCCTCTTTCCGTAGCCGTCTCGATACACTCCGATGTGAGGCTAAACACAAGAAGGATTGCCTACGGCGGAGTGCCCACTATGTGGCTGCATTGAAGGAGGAACGGCGGGAAAAGGAGGACAATATTGTCAAGCCGGGATCCCTATGATGTAACACTCGAACACAGTGAGGCAGTTGGCGCTAATAAACTCTAACTAACAAGGGGGGCAGTCGTGCATGGACCATGAGTCGCAATGCTCTAACTATGAACGACAACGAATGATCAATGATATCGAGCAGATCGCACCGTCCCGCACGTTGTTTTGGAGAGCACGAAGTGCTGGGAGGTGCAAATCACGAGCTAAGAGCGCACGTCCGAGATGTACGATAGTTCTTCAAGTGCTGCGAATGTTGCGGTGGATAGGCGGCCGATTGCAGTGCGATATGAGTCTTGTGTAGTTGTCGGTCCGCTTTGATCGTTGTATTTTTTTCTTTCTGAGCGGGTGAGGCAGGTCACTTGGTGAGTTGGATGATTGTGGATCTGCTGATGCCAGGAACATGGCTCCACTCTCCATCGGGACCTCGGTATCACGGATCATTCCATGGCCCAGGAACGGGATTGTAGAGTTCGACAAGTGGATGGGACTGCGATGAGCGAGGTGCTTTGCACACTCGCTCACGTGTCAGTCTCTGAATGCTGATAAAAAGGAATTGAAGGCGGCTGCTAGTCACGTACGTAGCGACAACGACAGGCTCGAGTGAGTTCCTCATCCCGGGGAGTTTTGAGATTGCACTACCTTCAGGAGAATCGTTCAGGAATTGCAAGAAGAGATCTGGGCAGTGAAGACTCTTTGGGACGGGGGGACGATCCGATCATCATGATCGGTGATTCGTTAGCAGCGATAAATAAAATGCTGAGTGCAAAGTTGCGTTCGCAGCATCGTGCTAGGCATTGGATCTTTGAGGGACCCTAGCGCGTGTCCGAACCGCCCTGGACCAGTCGAGACGTGAGCGAGATCACTGGGAGCAGCAGAGTTTAGACGCGAGTCGCCTGTAAACTCTAATGCTTGCTGCTTCGCTGTAGTCGCCTGACGCGACTACAAAATCTTCAGATGCAATACTTACGATAAGCACGTTATGCCCCAGGGAAGCAGTATACACCTCAAACATTCACGACTGGAACACCAAACATCAAACTTGAGCCGGCCATTTTTCAGAGTATAGCTTCAAAGCTTACGGTAACCGACGATGTATTGTCAACTTTGCGGAATAAATCGGGTAAACGCACTAGCCGCCTCACATGTATTTGAGTAGGAAGAACACCTGAAAGAAAACACTAGGAAATCAACTCACAACTGGTCCTTTTTGCCATTGTCACCCTCATCATCATTACAAGGCGAATCGATCATTCCGTATACATTATAATACAACATCATGAGGGAATAAGACTGCCACACTATGGTTACAACATATATACAATGTTTTAAGTTACATATATACAACCACGGGATGGGCCCTTTTTTGGAACACCACCCTGTAGTAACATCCTAGACTACTACAATAAATTATAATATCGATCGAATGGACACGCGATTCGCTGGAGCCCCGAACCTCATTAATACTTCTATAGGGTGCCCCAATTAAACTGTGCTACTGTTTATAACTTGTAGAATTCAAAGAATATCCCAGTGAGAGATTGTTCATTAGAAAGATCTTGGCGAGCGCTATTCAATGGTACAAGTAATGTAGCGGGGACACCCTGTATTATCAAGGGCAGTACTACACCAGTAGTATTCGTATTACCATCATAGCTGCAGGTTGTCCAGTGAAGCAAAAGGTAATCCAAAAAATGCAATTCCCTAAGTTGGGCCTTTCTTTGATGAACTTCTTCTCTGTTATGATCAGAAGTGGTACCTGAGCCGATACGCTCGATCGCACTACAGCCATCTCGACATGTAATAACCTGTGCTATGAACCCTTGAGTGACCACAGTGTAGAACGGCAAACCAAACGGCACCATACAAATGTACTCATGGACGATACCAGAGAGAACCTGACCGTCTACCAGTAGAGACACTATCTACTGTATAAAGAGTATCTACAATAGACACTCATGCCTAGTAGATAATCTACTGGGCTGAAGCGATGTGGGAGGATACTCACATGGTCAGTTACATGTGCTGGTGACAATATAAAAACTGGGCGAATATTTCGGAAAATTTCTGTTGGTTCCTGAGCACTTCTAACGGAATTCGTACGAATGAGAAGAATTTCTCAAAATGTCCTCAGAATTTTCATTTTTCCACCAACACATGTGGTTGACCATGTGCATATCGTCCCATACTAGGCTTTAGTACTTACGAAGCAGAGCATTCCTGCAGCCTCTGGGGAATAACCTAGTTGCCTTCTCATAGGGATGTACATGTGACGAAGGATGAAGTAATGAACCTGTAGGACGGCACCGCTATCCGTTCAAGTCCACCCTGGGACGTACAGGAAGATTCCATTTCTGCCAATATTCTCTAAAATTGACCGAATTCCACCAGTCCAAGTAAAACTCGCGATCTCCGAACCTGGTCAACTCCGCCAGGATATCTAACAAGACTAAGTAACTGAACTCCTGAGACTTAATTCCCCCTTACTCATCCAAGTGTGAAAAAGAGTGAAAAACATCAACAACCACAAATACAAGTTGGGCACAGCTAATTTCAATATCCTTTCCGATAAGATCCTGACAACAGGTGAATACCCACGGCCAGTCATACGGAGTAGATTACAGGGCACTTTGACGCCAACTTTGGGACTCCTTCAGCATGATTGGAGCGTTGAGGAGGACGGGCAACATATACCTACTCGTATGCAGTCATAAAACTCCTTCAGAAAAATGACGTGTCGTCCTAACGACCCTGATCCAGATGAATCTCTGCGATGTCGAGAACTGTCATTGGGACTATCCCTACTACTACTTACTGTTGAATGATGATGAGTTGCAATGCGAGACAGAACAGTAGCAGAGCGGTGTACTTCAGTAACCGCACCCACTGAGAATAACAAACTCTAGAGTACGGTAAGTGGAAGGAGTGGTACTCACATTGCGACGGGGATATTGGGGATACCACAGTTGATAACACAGAGTTGGATAGGCAATATACATGTACCTGTATTCCACTACTGCAATAGACGGTCATTCATATACTACATGTCCTTGAGTGAGAGGCACCGGGGGTACTTCTTCGCCATTTCTAGCGTCTCTTTCTCATCAATGAGAAGCATCTAATTATAGAAGCCTGTTGCTAGTGATACTGGACGGATGAATCTACCTCTAGTTTGTTCATCTTGACAGACCAGAACAGGTCGTGACAGACGTGCCAATAACTGACACGATCAGCGAGCTGAGATTTTCTTCCAGTGGTGGACTCACCTCCCAATTTTCATTGCGTAGGTGACCGAGCAGCACAGTAAGCCCATCGCGAGGAGACCGTGCGGTGTTGTACCTGATTGAAATTTCCAAGTAGAAGCCTTCATAGAAACAAGACTTTACTTTCAACGGTATACAGTGGACCCAGCAAGACTGTTAATAACACTAAAAACTGCAGGGCGTTCGCCAGGCGACGGTCTTGCTGCCGAGGTGCGATGTACCTAGGGCAGTTACAGTACCACACCAATCTCAACTTGTTGCGTTCAGTTTATAGAGGCTCCATGGTATGCCACCATCCATCGGAGCACCATACCACCTTTCAATGATGAAGCTGAGGGCAGGGCCGCACAGGATCAGAGCGAGGGTATAGACGAGGGGCAAGTTATGCCGGAGGTTGTCGATGGAAAGATACGCCCAAGGTCGCCAGAGCAAACCGTACTTGATAAGATTTTCCAACACCAACCGAAGATTCAATACCTAGCCACGGGAATGGGTCGAAGAGCCCTCAATAATGGCAGAACCGATGTGCCTACCACCAACAGCAAACACATGAGGTTGACGATACCACGATAATTGATGCCCCTGGCGCTCATACCGAGGAGGGGGACCTGAAAAGATACAGTTACAACAATTTAATGTCTCATAAACTCACACTGCATTTCCTATTAACGACTCGGCCAAGTGGATGGGAACGTCTCATTCGACCGAGGACCTTCTCCTTCTGAGCCTCCTTCTTGGCTTCCTCCCCAGAAGCAGTCGCATTGGACTTCTCCTCAGCCTATCAACCTCAATACACTATAATCGATGCAGTGACCCATCTACCTGTTCGGGGACCTTCTCAACACCACTTTGGTAGATGCTGCTGACTTGTTGCAATGTGCCGGCTCTTTCCACCTCGACGCCCTGCAAACCCTTTTCCTCACTCTTCTTAGTATCTGCCATAGAAGAGTTTTCGTCAACAGGTTGCAGATTCTCCCATTCACCTTTAACGGACATCCCTTTTAACGTGTCGGTAGCTTTAGATAACAAAAATGACATAAACGTTCAACTTAAACAAAATCTCACTTCACACAGCATCACTGATTTCTCCACTCCATTTCTTTTCAAAATAAAACTTCAATTTTGACAGTACACAATTTCAGAGACTTAGATCTGAACAGTGTATGCTTTCAGAAGCTCCAATTTCAAGAACACAATTAAGGAAGCAGATTTCGACATGACAGTCACGCCCATTTCGCACGAAGAAGCAACCGCTGCCCGATACGGTGATGAAATACGAAAAGGGCCTTTCAGTCGCAAACGATCGCCCTCAGCTGCTTGGCGATGCAACGAGAAAGCAAGTACATCACAACTGATATGAAGTCCGCGGACTAGTGACACAACATGAGTACTTTCGCGAACAACGGCGGTAACTATAGTATCGTCAGCAGAGGTTTTCCCGACCGACCGACAGAAGCAGAGTTCGATCAAGCACAATCAGTGAGGGGGTATCAATAGCTTCACTTGCGATGGAAGTAATGGGGCTCTTCCAAGCTTCGTGGAGTCGCTTGAAAGACGTCATTTTCGAGATCCTGACAGACACCGGTTGCAATCCCGTCACGCGCCACGAAATAAAACTCCGTACCTGACTTTCTATTCGATCTACGCGGGTTTCGGATTCCTTCGAGAGCTTCCCGTGGTACGTATGATGGAAGAAGTTGAGAGAGAAGACGCACAACAAACCTACAACGGGATCTCAATTATCTCACACCATGGAGATTTCTTACCGCAGCAATGGACAAGGCCAGTAACAACAAAGTTAAACCTGTAGCCCCAATGGTCAACAAGAAGACCTCCTATTGCTGCAGAACCCGACCAAGAGAACATACGCACCTATATAACAAGAAGGATCTGTCAAGCAACTCTAATGTACGTCAGATAGTGACTGAGGCACATCGTGGAACGCATCGCTCCGCTGTACTCGAGGCGAGACGATCCCAATAAGAAATCTATGGATTTGAGACACCTCCCCCACGTGTTGAGTCCCACGGTACTAACTCTCTCGACTGGCATAACAGTGAGCACGGATGATGAGCTCTTACCATGTCAACAGCGTTGACCTTTCCTCGATGCTTCTGAGGTGTATGGTCCATGAGCATCGCTCGGAATACTGGTCTTGAGCAATTCATAAAGGCCATCCTTATCACATACAAGACCAGTAAAATCTCTATCGGTCTTACTATGACCTGATGTGCACTCACACACCCAGCAGGCAAGAACCACCAACCTACCATAGCCCACAGTAATAATACTGCGATCAATCTAATAGAGACAACAACTTTAACCGTGCCGAACCTCGTAGCCAGCTCGTTCGTTACAGTGTAGGTCATAAACGCTACCGTCCTGAAGGAATATAGATTCCTCATAGTCATCAAGGAGCCCCCCCCCCTTACAGAGTGGTCACGACGTTGAGGAAGGCTAGAGTCCTCGGGTCAACGCCATAGTCATTCTTAAACCATAGTTGGAAATATTGCACTGACATTCCCGAGCCCAAAGCGGTGATAACATCTTGTCCAAGTATAGCACATACAATGCCGATCGAATTCGTATAGGAGTAAATCAGCTGAGGAAGAAACGCGTCAGTAGAAGTCTTACATTCACCAACAGTTGGCACCTTAGTCGTGTGTGTGAAGGGTATGGTCACCTCGACCAGCTCATTAGGAGCGTCCTCACATACTGCTTTCGTGGCCACGACCCCGCTTGCCTTAGTGTCGTCCTTTTGGAAGAACATGTCAGCCACCATACCAAAAATTGCACAAGACGAGCCGAAAAGGAGCACCTGTGGTGAAGCATACCAAAACAACCACCTAAAACAACCCTACCTTTTTCAAGCACGGCAGCGTCCATGTGTTGCCAGCTAGGGAGAGTATTATAGCATTGAGTATAGGACCACTAGCTGTGGCCACCTGAGCCAGAGTCCACCTATAATAACAAGTTCCAATAACAAGCCACGCCTTGAAAGCCTACCTCAACGATTCAAGCGGCGCCCGATTCCCTGTTGACATCCCGTCCGCAATGAGCGTACTCAGGGTCGTCTCAGAGAAGGCGGTAAAAGTGCCCCAAAGGATATAAGACGGATAAGCTATCCATAATTGATCCGTGAGGAAAAGGGCAAAGTTCATGCCGATGTTGAAGATGCCCAGGAAGCCCAAGGCACGCATGAGATCTGGTTTGGAGATGTTGTCAGCAACGACCCCTGCTATAGGAGCGCACGCCAAGCACGTGAGGCCTTGCACTGACGAGAATACTCCAACCATAGTGTTGGAGCCGCCCGTAATGGTATATAAATACCCTAGCATCGGTATACCCGTCCAAATAGACTGACTGAATTTGATCAGGAACGTGACCAAGAAGCCGAGCTTGACGTTAAAGGAAGCACAGAGGAAACTCCGCCACAAGAAAACGATGGGCTTGACGTCATCAGGCGCCTGGGTAGTGGTAGTGGTAGGCTGTAACAAACTCTGATGAAGGTCTTGACGTCGATCAGGCATAGCAATAGAAGATAGCAAAGTTACTCTATCGAAAAAATGCGTATCAGAATGGTCCTCAAACCCAACAAGTGTTGGAGTTATAAACTATCATTGAAAGTAAATTTATCACATAATTCAAAACACAGACTGCCCTCGTCTTCTGCCAGACTCTCACAGCCGATGAGTCCTTGGGCTACAGCGGCATCAACCTTAGCACACAGTGGGGCCGCGTCCTGAATTCCAAACAAGCATCTAAAACGACCCCGAAGGGCAACGCTCCCGACCAGCCCATTCAACTCCCGTTCTCGCCAGGACCAGTGGCGGATGACCTCGTGAGTGCCGAATTGATGGAAAATTCGAGTCTCCACTAAACGGATGATAACACCGTCAACTCGTAGGAGGAAGGACGCTAACACGTACCTATACAGATATGTAAGAAACCCTTGAGAAATAAAAACTTACCAAAAATTTGGCATCACTCGCAGTCGTATTACATATTTACTACTACCGTTATCAGCCAGCTCATCCTCCCATAAGCAAACCTACGAAAATTCAAGTACCACACTTCTTTCATTTCACGATAGTATACTACCTGAGAGAACCACCGTATTGGTAGACTCCTATCAGTGAGTTGACACCGTGGCAGACACTCAGCCGAGCCCCTGATCTCATCACCGAGCCAAGGCCCTGTGAACGTGCCCCCATAAGCAGTAGAGTAAGTCCAGTCAGCCTTGGGAAGTTGCGGGTTGTGATTGTTAGTCGCAGGGCTGACGACGTGCACGTCCGGATTACTCATGTCAGGGTGCCAAGTCCTCGCAGCGGCTACTCGAACTTGATGGGGACTACACATAGAGTCGGTGACCAAGCTCTCGAGGGACCATCACTAGTACCATCTTTCCCCGAGTTCCTGCCATATATTCACCCCTACACGACTCAAGAGCCCGTCGTTTGCCCCAATGGTGTCCTCCTGCCACTCCGCCACTCCCATTAGAGCATCAGTAATGTTGAAGGAAATCCGCACATTCGCAGCGGGCCGGTCAATAGTCAAATGAGCACCTACCACATATTCACATTTCAAGAGTTTATCTTGTTTAGTTATATTGATAGGGATATATACATATGTTAATAATACAGTTTTTTTATAAACTACTATCTCTCTCTCTGGAGTTCCACGCGTGATATGAAAAAACCACTAGTGAGGAATATATTTCACGACTACTGCATACCGCAGATTTCGAGTTTTTCACCGAGTATTACGCCACTTCACGTAAAACGGGTAAAACTCCATTGATACGAATTATATTATAATCTAATCGCAGAGGGCCGTAAAATATTCAAATGAGCACCTGCGAAGTATCTATAACTAAGGGTTCATCTTATTTTATAGGAGTTTCACCCGTTTTACGTGAAGTGGCGTAAAACTCGGTGAAACGCGCCATATTCACACTGTGCAGTAGTCGTGAAATATGTTTTTCACTAGTGTTTTCCATATCACTAGGGTGAAACTTCATTATATAAATACAGATATATATACATATGTTTATAATGTTGTTATTTTATATATCATAATTAAGCTTTTTCGATAGACTAAGCTATACTGATAAATTCATATTATAGTCAAATCGCAGCCAACCGTTCGATAGTCAAATGAGCACCTATCAACTGAGGGTATCACAAGACCGATAAGACACTTGGCCTCACCAGAGAAGACCATATCTGGAATCCACCGTCTATGGGAGGGCAACTTCTTCTCGATCTCATCCCGTTCAACAGCATCTGCAATAGCTGCCGATGGCTCTGAGGTCTCGAAGGACCAGCCCTCGGTGAAGAACTGAGGCATCACTACTGCTGAGGGGGGGTTACCATCACCCAACCGATACTACAACACTGCTCTAGGGATCAAAATACACTATATTAGCACATTGCATTGTATCAACATCACCACGAGCATGCAACAAATCACCAGCTGTGCCCCAAGTCTTTAGTTTAGCTATCAGCGTGTACTCTCCTCATCTGCCGAGGCTCCGACATAAGCCGACTCAGAATGTACCTGCCCAAGCGCTAGGACAACGGCGAGGATCAGCAAGGGGTGGTACAACATACAGGCTCCGACCTGAGTAGCGATCATCCTGTTGCGGCCACCTTAGCAGCCTCTTGTAAATAATCTAAGTGTTCTGGGCATCGAGTGAAACCATCTCCATTGGAGTATCCATCAACACGCTAGATGGAATGAACGACTAGTTATCTACCTGACAGCAAGGGAGCTCACTTTCGTGCTACCGAATAATAGGCCGCCCCATGAGCTCTCTGCATAGACTGTAATATCATCCCCGGATACCAAGATAAGATCAGTTGCTCTAGCCGACACTAGCGGTGTGATTGACACCCACCCAGGTTCGAATCCCAGGTCCTCCACTTACTCTCACAGTTCTTAAAATTGTCACTTTCAAGGGCCCATCGGGCTGGATTCTCCTTAGCCTCACGGCCCAGTGACGACGGACAGAGAGGGCATGCTGATGGAAGCACGACGAATCCAACCCTCAACAGTTCTGCTAGCGACAATGGAGACACTGTGTTCAATGGGAACACCCGGGGTGATTTCTCGCGCGCCACGAAATACTTCCACGAAACACCAGTAGCCAAAGGCAGTAGAAACGTTAACGTTTGGGTAGACGATCGCTAAGCTTTCTTCTTCTTAATGGACTTTTTCGCTGCTTTACGTTTGGGGCGAGACGATCCTCCGACTGTACATTTCACCGTCCTCTTCTCTTTCGGAGGCGCCTCGGGTTCCTTAGTAGCTTCCGCGGCCTAACGGGATAAGAAATCTCAACCTCGTGAAAATTCAAGTAATGAAATATCATATATGAAATGCTTATAATCATAAAAATAGCAAAAGTATGAGATTTGGCGATGAGATATCAAAATATAAGTGGAAATTAAAACGAAATCGCTCATTACAACTCTTCCAAACCGTATATATGAATACAACTATTCACAACGCACACAGTGTTACAACCCTAAACATTGTAGTATTATTATAATATACTTACAGGCTCCATCACGGCCGGTGGTATCACTACTGACGACTCAACAGCAAGGGTGGCGCTCGAGGAGGAGGAACTACCGCCTTGCTTGCTGCCTTGCTGATAGAGGGTGAACGCAACGTTTTGCCACTTATCTCTCTAAGAAATTGAACGGTGATTCAGAGAATATATATGATCTCAGTTCATGGACTACAATATCATAGCAAGTGCATGAACTCATGCTGTATAGGCAGCATATTGTGAGTTAATCAAACCCCAGTGTGGGGAAATATGAAAATGGTCAACCACATATGTTGTTGACAATACTGAAAATTCTCATCGAGTCCTGTACACTTCTAGGCGGACTCGTATGTGAACCTCTATAATCAGTGGAGAAACTCTCAAGCTCAGCTGGGGAGAGCAAACATATATTCTAGCACTGCTCTAACACGAAGGTCCTACCACTCGATTGGCTTCGCTGACTGCCTCATCGCACGCAGGTGAGGCAAAGACGTCCTCAAGAAGACCATACGTAAGGCACGAGACAGGAGACCGTTCCCTCTCCCTTTCCAAATCGATTTCAAACACATCTCTTATCGATGCGGTTTTCCTAGGCTCCGTTTTCCGCGAGGGCACAGGAAGGGCCTCGAGATCATCCACTGGGGTGAGTACCCTCTGAAGTGCTTGAAATCGAGGAGCCACAGAGCCGCTAGGATGCCTCATAAAATCCACACGAGACAACATAGTTAACCCACAAGGGGATTGGAGACTCAACTGTGCTGTAGAGACCTGACCAACAACCTCATCTTATAACAGACCCCCTAGGGCATTTACCTGCTTGATCGTCTGCCCACTGAATACATCCCAGATGCGCAAGCCATCTGCTGCTACGCTCACCACTCGACTACCGTCAACACCTACCAGCGGCGGATGATGGACTGTGGGGAAATAGCATCCACATGGTCAACTATGGTCGTATTGGTGACACTGAGAAAATTTTGAGAAAAATTTTGGAGAATTCTCACATTCGTATAAAAATTTCCGAGCCCAGCTGAACACTGGAGTTTTACCCGTGATATGAGAAGCACTAGTGAAAAACATATTTCACGACTACTACAGGCCGCGAATATCGCGTTTTTCACCGAGTTTTACGCCACTCCACGTAAAACGGGTTGTGAAACTCCATTGAATGGGGCGAATATCAAACGACACTTACTGCATCCTAGGCCGAGCAGAGCAGACCCATGGGAGCCCGTGAGGACGTTGATCTCCTTGCTCTGTATATCGATCACCTGCAGTCAACACCTGTAGTCTCTCAGCAGCTCCTCCCATGAACTCACGTGCACTCTACCATCATCACCACCAACATAGAGTGGCCCTCGAGGGCTCAGGGCAATGTGGTGAACAGGAGTGGGCAGATTGAAGGTTGCCACTTGCCGACCACTCCCTCCAGGCGTGAACTCCCATATTTTCACACTGCCGTCTGCAGAGCCCGAACTGATAAGGATCCTGACAACGACCTCGATGGTCCCAGCTCCAAAGCTTTCTCTATTACACTACACAGAAGACCCTATCTTTATCACCACTGTATCGATATTCTACGTGAAATAGTTGAATCTATATATTGGAGTTTCACCCGTGATATGAAAATCACTAGTGAAAAACATATCACACATTTCACTTCACGAAAAACCACATGCGAGAAATGAATAACGTGCGGAATATGTGATGTGTCTTACGTTATATGGGATCATTCGCCAAGGATTTTCAATTCATTTCATATCGCGAATTTCGCGTTTTTCACATAGAGTATAACGCTACTTCGCGTAGAATGAACGAGACTCCATCTTTTTCTCCTTGCGCAGCACCCCTTCGACCAGGCGAGCAATAGCCAGTACAGTGGTTCAGCTGCAGGCTCAGTCACTGCTGCCTGAGCCTGGTATGAACTGGTACACAGTGTGTTACACGGCAGAGAGCTCGATAAGTAGGAAGACCCTTTAGCGACCCCCAGCTGCCAGCAGTAGAATACTTTACATATTGAAACTCCACTATACCCTAGTATTTAGCTATTAGTTCATCAGTCCTGTGCTCAGGGTAGATTCATCTGCATTTTTACAAGAAGTATAAATACAATACTGTACTCACATTCTCGCGGTATACATATATGTTTGTATGAATCCAAATGGTGAAATAAAAATATATCAATACTCGAGTTTCACCCGTTCCACATGAAGTGGCGTAATACTCGGTGAAAACACCGATATGCGCGGTATGCAGTAGTCGTGAAATATATTCTTCACTAGTGTTTTTCATATCACTGGTATCACTCGTGAATACATATTTCATTACATTTCAGCATTAGTGTATTAGTATGCAAGAGATAACAGCATTTCAATGTGAATGGAAATACATTAGTACACGTGAAATTTATATTCCCATACGAAGACCCCAGCCTACCTAGATGGCTCGGATACTCCCGCCTCCTGCAGGATATCTAGTGCATGTACTGGCAGAGTATGCCCACGAAAAACACGTGCTGGTGATGGAGCACCGCCTGAGATGAGAAACAACGATGATGCTCCCAATCATATACGTCGATCGATGCCCTACCTCCGCCTCCTCCCGAGGTTATCAGACTCGACAAAGTGAACACCTATAAAATCAAACTGACACTCCAAAGTAGTGTGCACTCCCCGACCCCACCTTCACTGTAGTGTCCAGACTGGCCGTTACCAAGAACGAGGCATCAGCAGTGAGCCTCATTTGAGTAACT